GCACTCATCTTTTTTGAAATGTGTTTTTCCTGAAGGGGCTTCCCCATATCAACTTGTGACTGAGGCTCAGGATCCATTTGGATTCAAGAAGGGCAGATGCCCTGGATATCAATGAAAAGACAAATTCTTTGCCACCATCTCTGTTCTATATAATGTTAATTTGGAGAGTGTTGGCAGCCCAAAGATAAGCCAAGGGGATACATTAGTTCCCTTTGAGGTCCTGTTTTGAGCCTTTGTAGCTGATCTATTCTGGGCAGGATGCTGATTTTTAGAGCTTGCCCAGGCCCAGGACTACAATTATTTGCCTAAAAGCAAAAGGAATTCCAAAAATAGGAAATAAGCATCTTCTTGACTAATGCATGAAGTTGCTGAGTTTTTAACACACATAATTCCCAACCTCCTCCAAAAAGAATAAGAAAATGCTGATGCCCAACAGATCTCAATCGAGGGAGCCTTTCCCATTTACCAAACATACCTGGTAATTTGACTTTTAAGAAGGGTATTTTTTAAAGGCAGCTAGGTAGCACAGTGGATAAAGTACTGGGCCTAGAGTAGGGAAGTTGAGTTCAAGTTCAACCTCAGACAGTGACCAGCTGTATAATCCTGGGCAAGCTGCTCTGTCTGCCTCAGTTTCCTTTACTGTACAATGTATGTCCCAGGGTTGTTGTAAGGAACAAATGACATAATATTAATAAAGTGCTTATCAAAGTGCCTGGCACAGAGTAAGTTCTATATAAAATACTATTCTTTTTCTTTTTCTTCTTCTTCTGATAATAAAAAAAGTCTAATAATATTCGGGACTAGGATAAACTGTGAATTCTAATTTAGCATCTGTGTCCTTAAATCTAAATAAAATGGGAAGGGTAGCAGAGTAGAAAGACCACTGGACTGGAAATCTGGAGACCTAAGTTCTAATAGTAACAATAATAACAGCTCACATTTTAGAGTACTTTAAGGTTTGCAGAACACTTAACATATACATCATCTCATCTAGTCCTTACAAGCCTATGAGGTAGGTGCTATTATTTTTCCCATGTTTCACATAAAGTAGTTAAGGCCCAGAGTCATAGGCATCTGGTGTAAGATTCAAATCCTGTCTTCGGGACTCCAAGTCCACTGCTCCCTCACCTTCCCTACACTGCTGCCTTCTACTCTTGGCTCTGCTACATGCCAGCTGCATGTCTGGGGGAAGTTACTTAAGCTTCTGGGCTTGGTTTCCCCAATTACAAAGAAGGGTCGGAGTGCGTGATCTCTGGAACCCTAACAATTTATAACCTAGAAAACAGTCTCTTGCTAGTAATGCTCTTCAGCAATTCCTTTGAAATAAAAGCAGTTTGATTTCAACTAAGTTCCCTAAGGTACCTTTCTCACCAACATCATTTCTCTTAAGCACTTGCGCCCTCTAGTGAGGAATTCAAGTGTACAAGCTACACTGGCTCTAGGAATGGTATGCACAAGAGTAAATCCTTAAAGTGGGGAAAAAAGGCAGGAGCACAAACTTTTCTCAAAGAAATTTTAAAAAAAAGGTCAAAGTGGTAGATAAGAAAAATAGGGAAAATTTAAACAGCTACCTTCTGGAAGTGTTTTTTTTTTTCCCGATGAGGCAATTGGGGTTAAGTGACTTGTCCAGAGTCACACAGCTAGTAAGTGCTATGTGTCTGAGGCCGAATTTGAACTCAGGTCCTCCTGAATCCAGGACCGGTGCTCTATCCACTGTGCCACCTACCTGCCCCCTGGAAGTGTTTTTAAGGCCATATCTACACTGATTTCTTTAGCATTGATAGAGAAAACATTACAAATGAAAGCAAAGTTCTATCCCTACATTTTTATGCATAATTGGGATTGATGCCCTCTTCTTACGGTTTAGACCCATTTTCTATTTTTACTAAATTTGACACAGGAAGAATTTTGACTGACGGAAATTGTCTTGCCACATGTGAATTGTTAATGTAGACCATAAAGCTAAACTGCCATAAGAAATAGCTTTCATCATAGAGTCAACACTTCCTAGAACAAACGTGCTCCGCTTTAGTAAGCAGTCCAAGGGTTTTTGAATGCAGATGGGTTTAGAGGAGAACCACGTACTTTCCTGAGTTTGAACAAAGCCCAGCTCTCAATAGTAATGTGCTATAATATCTACAGTAAGGAACTGTAGTCCTGCCCACTCTGAGTCTGGGGCAGACGTGAAAAATTGTAACATCAAACAAATATTGAACAGAACTGATAACTGGAAGAATTATTATATAAAGGATATAAATTAGTTACTCTCCACTTTAAGCACAAATGAAAGAAATGGGATTAAATTATGCCTTAGGAATACAGGTAAGTTATAAAGAAGGCTTCTGATGTTGTTACAGAAAGAGATAAGTGATAGGTTGTAAATGTTCTCTGGAGAGCTTCTAAAATAGGGGAAACCTCCAAATGTATAGGATGGTGATGCTGGGTCTAACCCTGCCTGGGTACAGAGAATTAAGTTTATGAATGCAGGTAGCTAGGAAGGAAGGAAGGAAGGAAGGAAGGAAGGAAGGAAGGAAGGAAGGAAGGAAGGAAGGAAGGAAGGAAGGAAGGAAGGAAGGAAGGAGGAAGGAAGGAAGGAAGGAAGGAAGGAAGGAAGGAAGGAAGGAAGGAAGGAAGGAAGGAAGGAAGGAAGGAAGGAAGGAAGGAAGGAAGGAAGGAAGGAAGGAAGGAAGGAAGGAAGGAAGGAAGGAGCATTTATATAACACCCCTACTATGTGACTCCAGTCCCAGCATTCTACCTACGTTGCCACCTAGTGGCTTTCATGAAATTAAGCAATCTCAATACCCAGTATAGGGTAGGCCAGGGAAAGGGAAAGGGAATTGCATTTACCTCAATAGCAGCTATAGTTTCACTGAATTAAATAAAGATCAGAGAGGAAAGAACAATGCCCATTTTGATCAGCCAAAGGGACATTTCCATCCAAGTCCAGCACTCTGTATGCCTAGTTGCCAGGTTTCTCTTTTTCTTGATAGAACAGAGCTGGGGAGCTGCCACTTTGGTGGATGGACATGCAGTAAGGTCGAGGGAAGAGTTTTAAGATGCTGCCAGCCACTTGTCTTGGAGCAGAAGTGTGGTAATTTAGACTGAGTTGTGACCAGGCATGTAGGCTGGTACAGAGTGGTCTCACACCTGCCAGTATTAGAAGGGAGGGAAAATAGGAGTAGGAGAACCAATAATTAATACTTTCACTAGAACACACTAGCCTAAATAGAGGGACTAAAATTTTTTTTTAAACTTTTTTTCTCTCTGTTGACATAACAACAGCTTTACTTTCTTCATCATTTATGGGGGTTAATTCTCTGAGACCTGGACCATGTTCATTCTCATATCATAGTACTGGCACCTAAAGGTTAACAACTAAGAGACTATTCTAATCAATTTGAACTTTCCTCAAAAGGTATATTTGAGGTATATGCCTCAAAGGGTAAATATTTGGCATTTGTTGGCAGGTGCTCCAGGGAACTGGGTGAGTGGATTCTTTTTCAGGTTGTCAAGTAACTTTCACTCCAGTCCATAAAGACTAGCTTGTCTTCATCAGCTAGATCTACTCTTCAGTTTTTAATAAACGGACTTAAAGTGAAACTTCTCAAGATATTGGCTTATCCAGTTTTTCTCAATTCTGCTTATGTGGAGCTCCAGGCTGGGACATCTTGGAACACATATAATGTACTATCTGGAGGTACTTCTAATGCCAAGAAGTACAGAAAGGTTTAAAAAAAAAACCCAATGCCACTGAAAAGAGATTTGTTCCATGATGCCAAAGCCTTCAACAATTGAACTGAACTGAATTCAATTTCAATTCTTTTCATGGACTTTAGCACTCCATAGATTTTGGTGCCATTCAGTTTTGTCACTCTGTTAGGGTAACATAACTCTTTCCCAAAACATTTCCAACAGCTCACCCACATTCCCTTCCCCTACCCCCAAGCCCCTTACTATGAGCCAAGAGTGATTTTTATGAACACACCACAAAGCCAAAGAGTTGTTGGCAACTTCATATAACACAGCAGCTCACAAGCTCACAGCTTGCTTCCACAATCCTATACTCTACCAATAAGGGTATTTCTTTCTTGAGTACAGAATATTACAGCTACCTCAGTTGTGGATGGGGCATTGGAGGTGGCCTTTTGGACTTTCAACTCAAACACAGAAGTAAAGGTGATGAAACATTTGCTCCACTTACTCCTTCATTCGCTCATGTTGACTTAGTTGCTGATTTTCTATGTGGGATTCTAAAGTACTTCTGAGACTATGATTTGGTTGTGAAAACAAAGAAAGATAGCAACAAATCTCCATTATATACTCCTTTCCATAATAAAGAACTTGTATGGCAGTCTTTAAATCTTTTAGCCAACATACAAATCCTTCTTTTCCCAAAGAATGATTCTAAGAACAATATATTTAATTCTCCATTATCCTCAAGAAAATTATACCCTTTGTGGTTTATGTGGAGTGAGCTGGGGCTCTCCCTATCCTCTAACCAGCTAGGGATCTCCAGGTCTCTAACTATAGTGTCAGAAGGGCTTGTTTCTTGGGTGTCTGATTGTATTCTAAAGCCAAGTATGAATGGCTCTGGAGTTATCTGATGCTTTATATTATCCATGTTTCTTTCCCCTCTCCATTAGTACAAACAGGAATTGACCACATTACTTTTCTTCCAAAGAGTTCAAAGATATTCCCATAATCTTGTAACACCTCTTTGAGAAATAGAGAAGACAGGTCTTATCAGACTGTTGTTGAAGAACATAAATCTAATTCAAGGTCATAGCTTTGGAGATCTTTCTAAGAACATAGAATAACTAATAAATAATGTCTCTTAGTGGAATGACTGTTTCCAAACCCCCATGGATAGCTAACTTGAACCCAGACATTTTCATTAGCCAACTAAGCTACATGGAATCTGTTGCTCCCTCCATTAAAATTTAATGCATGCGAGCAAGGCTGACCTTAGAGGGACATGTCTCACTGGCCTGTTACTTACCCATGCCTCTTTCATGTCTTCTGTGACTTCAGTTTCATCTCCCTGAAAAAGAAGAGAAGAGGAGAGACAGAGAGAGAGAGAGAGAGAGAGAGAGAGAGAGAGAGAGAGAGAGAGAGAGAGAGAGAGAGAGAGAGAGAGAGAGAAGGGACAGTCACTGTCACAGCACTCCTGGCAGCCACAAAGTCAGCTCCTGTCACCTACACTTCCCAGTGCTTCAAGCAAGAAGTTGCCTGATGGATAGCAAAAGGTGACTGCCAAGTGATGCTTTGATGCTGCTGCTCCCTTTCAATAGGCACCACAGGTTGGAAGCTAAGGAATATTAACTGCAGATGAACACTTTAAATGAATTTTGTGTAAATGGGAGCCTTATCAATAAAAATTCATCTGCTAACAAAGAAAAGCAACTTCCCTCTTCCTATTTTCACTTTATATCACCTCTGGAAAGAATAAAAATTGCATGAGCATTATCATTTATAAAAGGCTTTCTCACAACAACCTTGTAAATTAGGTAGAGCAAATAAGATTATCCTCATTGTATAAATGAGGAAACTGTGGCTCAAAAGTTTAATGATTTTCATAGCTACAGAGGTAGCAACAGCCAGAGCTCAGGTCTTTTGACTCCCCAGTCCAATTCTCTTTCCCCTACACCACACTTCCAAAGCAAATAAAACTCTCTACCAAGAGAATAGTTTGTAATAGATGAGTATTTTACTACTCTCATCATCTTGTTGATGAACGGATTGACATTTTTAAGTTATCCACGATAATCAGCAATCACAGTCCACGCTGATTCCTCAGCTGTGCCACAGACCAAGACAGGAACGTGTTTAAACGTGGTCCATTTTATTGGAGTATATATCTATTTTTAAAATGACATTGCAATCATCCATACTTTTATTCTTATTTCATTACCTATGCATCATAGTAGTAGTGGAGTATAAAGGGCTTTAAAGAGTACACGGGTAGCCCGAGTTTGACTTCCAACTCTGCTGCAATCTGGGTGATGTTAGAGGCGAGTCCTTCCCCTCTCAGAGGCCTCAGTGTTCTCATCTGTAACTGAGGGGAGCGTACCAGATGATCTCTAGGTTCTCTGCCAGTTGTAGCAGTTATGATTCTATGAATATCTGAGCTGACTGTATTCATGTGAGCTCACGATGATGTGGTCCCTTCCTTTCCCCCATCAAAAGTTGCTTATGGCCTTGTATTTCCTTACAATATTAATACAGAGTTCTGTACACATAAATGTGGATTCCTGAGGGTGTGTGGTCTGAGGGAGGAGGAAGGGAATAAGTGCTGAGCACTTATAGTATCTCACTGGATCCTCACAACAACCTTACAAAGTTATTATTACCTATGATGATTCCCCTTTCGCAGCTGAGGAAATGGAGGCAACCAGCAGTTAAGTGATTTGCCTGGGGTCACACAGCCAGTAAATGTCAGATCTCCCTGACGCCAGGCTCAAGGCTCTGTCCACTGTGCCACTTAGCTGTTTAGTCCAGTGGAGAAGAGGATAGTCTTGGAGCTATTAGATCTGGGTTCAGGTCCCAGCTCCAACGTTTATTAGCCATATGAACTGGGCAAGTCGCTTAAACTCTTCTGAGTCTGGGTTTCTTTATCTAAAAATAAAAGTAATAACATTTACACTACCCTCCCTTTTTGTGCTGTTGTAAAGGAAGCACTTTATAGACCCTAAAGTGATATATAAAGGCCAGCTATCATTATTATTTCATTGGGTTATTGTGAGGAAAGCGCTTGGAAAACCTTCAAACATGATATGAAGGTGAGTTACTATTATTTTAAATGTGCGAAGGGGAAGAAGGCTGTGGACAGCTAGCATCAGGTGAGTCTGATACCTCTACGGCACCGACCCCTAAATTCCCAGTATGATCACCTTCAGTTTTATAGCCTCAGAGGCATGATCTTCTCCTCTTCTTCATGGACATGTTCTAAGTCCTGGCTGGAGTCGTGGCAACAAACTGAAGCTAATCCCAGAACACACAGATGCCATTTCTTCTGTAGAGAACACCAAAGAAAACAGCTACCCAAGGCTCCCAAAGAAACACATCCACTTACATCCTTCGTCCAGAAGTTGATGCCTGTCCCTCTTCGCCTTTCCTTGGGCCGGCGCCTCTCCCGGATGGATGTCTTATTAGAGGATTGGTCGCCCAAATCTGGATCTTCACTCTCTGACCACCAAAAACAAAAGGCAGCATAGGGCTTTAGTATATGGGCCCACAAGTCCTGCAGAAGGTTCACTTTAGTTTTTAAAGGTCTACATACCATTTTTTTCCATGTCCTTAGCAGTGCTTGTGGCAGTTTCTGAACTCTCAGAGTCCAGGCCTGAGGTCCTACTTCCCCGGAGGAGATAGGATCCAATAGAAAGGGAGGGGCTTGACCCAGAAGGAGAAATTGGTGTGGTGGGTTTATCTTGCTGGGTTAGGCACCTCAGTCGTCCATAAGAAGGCTACAAATAACCCACAGTGTTGGATGTTAGAAGCCAATTCCCAACATACAAGAGTGATTTTTTTCACTGCAGATTTCTTAGCAAAAATTAGAGGCTTCCTCTACCAAGGGCAGATTATACAGACTGAAAGTCAGCCTGTTAACTACCCTAAAAAAGTACAATCTCAGGATTCACACAGTTTGTATCAACCCCATATTGAAAGCAGTCCAAAAATATTTTTCCTGAGCAGAGTAAGGGACAATTAAATTGCATCTGCCTTATTAGAAAAGGTTCCTTTGGTGAAAGAAGGAAAATGATAGGGAAGATGGTACTTTGGAGTCGGGAAAATTAGGAGAGCTAATTAATACTTAGGAAAATAAAAGGTCAACAAGTATGTGAAGTTAGATGTATGAGAACTTAAGCACAGAGCCCAGCAGCTACATTTGAATATTCTACCAATGTGCAAGAGCTAAGTTTTTTATAATCTTTTTCCAACTCTCCTTTTTCTTTCCCATTTTGTTCCTTACCCTAATGAGTAAAACAAAAAAATATAGCTCTTAATTTGGTTCATTTGGTAAAATTTTGGCAATAGGAAGCTCTAGCTAGAAAGAGAGGAAAAGATGTTTCCCGCTATGACACGGGAAACATTTCACAAAGGAAGAATGCTTTTTAACAAAGTGCTACAAAGAACTGGCCAGGCCTAGGCTGGAGAAAGAAGTAGAAAAGTTATTTCCAATCCTAATCTATCCATTTCACTTCAGTAGAAAAGCAGTAACCCATGAAGAATGTCTCAGCAGTGACTGACTTTTTGAGTTCACTGGAGCAAAGGCCGCCCTTCAAATTCCTGGGGTTGCTAATTTTATTAAACTGTAAGGGGCATCTCTCATTTGGAGGACTGGACATTTGTGCAAGAAGCATGAATAACCCCAAAGAGAAGAAATTTATTCATAACTGGTAGACATTTAGCTTGCAGCTACAAAGGTTTATCCACAGAAACATTATTTCACCTCCTACTCTCCCTTCTAGGTACAAATGAGCAGCCTGCAGTCTGGGAGAGCCCAGAGCAGCCCAGATCGATTTACCTCCTCGTCCCAGTTCCTACTCCCTCGCTGCTGCCGGCTCTCCCCAGTTTCTTTTGTCAGTGCTGTGAGCGGCTCCTGTTTTTCACTGCTGCCCTCGAGTCCCTCCAGACCACTTTCGACTTTTTCGCTTGGCTGTTCTTGAGATTGCCTTTCTGCCCGGGATCGGCTGAAGGTTCTCTCTGCTTCCTGAAGATCAGTTAGAGTGACACCCTGGGAGGAGAGAGGGAGACTTTAGAGTCAGGGAGATGAAAGTCGAACTTTCAAGCAAAGCTTTCCTGGCTTCACTGATGGACAGCAAGGGTAGAAACAAAGTTCAGATCCTTGAAATCTAGCATCCTGCCTATTATCTCAAGCTCGTGTCTACAAATAAATCCCTCCCATAAAGACGGGTGGCTTCTGGTTGTTGAAAAACAAAACTGAACTAGAATCAATAACCTCAGGCCCCTGAGGAAGGGCAGATGGCTCCTAAGAAGACCACTAAGCTGAGACAGGCTGACCAGAGACATGGCCTTGAGGTGAGAGCACCAAGCAAAGCCTTCAGGTCTGTGTCCTAAACAGTGTAGAGTCAATACCCTGGTTCTTCCAACTCTCATTCCTAAGAAATAGGTTACTACAGGGAGTTGCCTGTCACAACAGTATTTAGGCCATGGTTAGCCACTCTCAGAACTGTCATTAGAATAGCCCTGGGGATCCCAAAGGATCTTTGACACAGAGACTCCACAGCTGCCAAGATGAGGTATAAACAGGAGCCTCATTTTTCTCTCAGAGACAAAGTCAGGCCTAGGGAAGAATAAATTCAGACTCAAGGTGAAAACAGAAAAATGGCCGAGATTTCAAATGCGGACTTTCTATAGCACCCAGTATTTGTTAAGTGCCTACCGTGTATGAGGCACTCTGCTAGGAATATCTACTTGCATGTAATTTACATTCTAATGGATGAAACAATAAACACATATAATTACAAACAGAATAAACATAAAGAGAATAAATACAAATAAAAACAAGGGATTTGTAGAGGGAGAGCACTAAAAACAGGAGGATCAGGAAAGACATCAAGTAGATACTGATGCTTTAGCTGTGTTTGGAAGACAGAAATTTTCTTCTTTCAAAAGCAAAGTTGAAGAGTAGTGCCATTAGGAGGCCAGTTTGGCTAGACCGTAACATATGAGAAGAAAGGTAATATATGTGGTATTCCAAAAACCTTAGTGCAATTCAAAGTTATTAAAGTGCTTAAAACTGCACCAAGACTTTTAGGGAATCCTATAACATAAGGCTAGAAAGAGAGGTTGGGATCAGGTTGTGAAGAGCTTTAAACACTAAATATAAGAGTATATGTTAGCCTAGAGGCAATGGGGAGCCATTGGGATTTACTGAGAAGGCGCAACACATAATCACATTTGCGTTTTAGGATTATCATTCTGGCAGTTCTGTGGAGGCCACATTGGAGTGAGGAATGACTTGAGACAGGAAGATCAATTGGGAAACCAAAGCAACGGTCTAGGCAAGAGAAGATAAGGGACTGAACTAAAGCGGTAGTCATGGCAGGAGAGAGAAGAAGAAAGATTTGAGGACGTCGTGGTAGTAGAAATGGCAAGTTTTAGGCACCTGAAATGTGGAGTAAGAAAGTGAGGAGTAAGCATAACACATGGTTTTGAACCTGAGAAACTGGCAGAATTGTGGCACATTTGATAGAAAAAGGTAAATTTGGAAGAGGGGTGGGCTTAAGGGAAAAGAGAAGTTTTGTTTTGGATGTGTGGAGTTTGAGAAGATGAGGGGCCAAAGCTCAAGGAAGAGAGTAGGTTGAATACACAGAACTGGGCACCATCTGCTTAGAGGTGATCATTAATCCCATGGGCTCTGATGAGGTCTCCAAGCAAGTGGGTGTAGAGAGAGAAAAGGGCCCAGGACAGACACCTTGGGAACACTTCCAGTCAGGAGGTACCACATGGAAAAGTCAGCAAAGGAGATTGGGAAAGAACAGTCAGGCAGGTAGGAGAACCAGGAGAGTGAGTAATAAATGTCTTTAAAACTCCAAGAGAGTCTCCAGGAGGAGAAAGTGGTCAAAAGCATTAACCACTGAAAAAAGATCAAGAGGAATGATGGCTGAAAAAGAGACTGTCATATCTGGCAATTAAGAGATCACGAGTAATTTTGAAAAGGTCAATTTCAGTTGAGTGATTAGTTCAAAAGCCAAATTGTGGAGGACTGAAAAGGGAGTGAGGAGTGGCACTACAGGCAATGGGTACAAATAGCTTTTCCTAGGAGTCTGGCTGCGAAAGAGAAGGAAAAAACAGGACGACGGATTGAGGGTAAGGGAGGAGGACTGTCAAGGACTGAAGAGACCTGGGTGTATTTGGACGATGCTACTCCTCTCTCCTCAAAAGCCTTCAGCAGCTCCCTGTTGAATCCTGTTTCCTTCAGGTATCGGCTCATGTACCACCTCCTCCTCCAACCCTTCTCTGATTCCCCAAGTTCCTAGTGCTCTTCCTCTCCTCAGATTATCTTGTTTTTATGTGTCTTGTGCTCTCATACTGAGAAACTGCAACATTCATATTAACTCTCCCTCAAACTCCCCAACCATTCAGTTCCTTAACCTGATCATTTCCTTAAGCCGCAATCTTGTCATCACTCACAAAAGTACCACTTCTAAGTTCAAGAATTCTAATATCCCCTTATCTGACCATAATCTATTGGCTTTCCACCTCTCCCTCTGCCTTTCCTTATAAAACCCTACTCTTTATCAACATCATGACTTCCAATCCCTTGACCCATCAGTTCTTTCACAGGTCATCTCCCTTGCACTCACCACTCTCTCCTCTTCCCTCTGTCTTGACCTCCTGGTGAACCAGTTGAACTTAACGCTGTCCTCTTCTCTTGAGTCCCTGGCTCCCTTATCACATTGCTGATTGTGCCCTGCCAAGTCTCACTCTTGGATGACTCCCACTATCTACCACTTTCAGCCTATACACATCCTGCTGAATGTAGGTGGAGAAAATCACACAAATTATTGTCCACTACAAATTTATGTTACACAACCTCAACTGTGCCCTCACTGCCACTACACAATCCTACTGTACCTTCCCTATCAACTCACCATTTCACTCTCCAAAGTGGCTCTTCCAAACATTTTCATCCCCCTCAAAAACCTTCCCATGGCTCTCCCTGCCCCCAACCTCTCAACTGAGAATCTTGCCTCACGTTTTACAGAAAAAAATTGAGGACATTTGCCCTGACCTCCATCTTTTCCCTTCTTCCTCATCTCATGTCTCTCAGATGCCTTCTGCCCCCCATCTCCTCCTCACTCTTGTCATGGGAAGAGGTGGTCTCATGCCTTACCAGAGAGGCCTCTCTACCTGCACAAGCAATCTCATTCCATCCTTTCTTTTCCAACAGATTGCTCCCTCTGTCATCCCCAATCTGTCACTTATTTTCAACTCCCCCTGTCTACCATCTCCTTTTCTATTGCCTACAAACTTGCCCAGGACTCCCCCATCCTCAAATACCCCTCGCTCCTTCTGTCCCTGATATTGTCCTCTGTCTCTTCTGCCCTTTGTGGCCAAACTCCTTGAGAAGGCCCATTACAATAAGTGCTTCCACCTTCTCTCCTCTCACCCACTTCTTAACTCCTTACAATTCAGCTTCTGACCTCATTATTCCGCTGAAACTGTTCTCTCCAAAATTATTAATGATCTCTTCATTGCCAAATCCAATGGCCTTTTCTCAACTTCCAGTCTTTTCGACTCTCTGCAACCTTTGAGACTCCTGATGGCCCTTTTCTCTCTACGTTTTTGGAACACCACTCTCTCCTGGTTCTCCTCCTCTCTACATGACCATTCCACCTTGGTCTTGTTTGCTGGTCCTCATGCAGATCACATCCTCTAACTATAGGCGTTCCTCAGGGTTTTGTCCTGGGCCTTCCTCTCTATGATTTCACTTGGTGATCTCATCAGCTCCCACAGATTTAATTGCCACCTGTGTGCTGATGACTCTCAAATCTACCTGCCCTGCCCTAAACATCTCTGCTGACCTCCAGTCCTGCAAGTCCAAGTGCCTTTCATACATATGGAACAGGAGAAGACATCTTAAACTCAATATGCCCAAAACTGATCTCATTCACTTTTCCCCTAAACCCTCCCCCTCCCCTAGCCTCCCTTACTTGAGGAGGACCTCAAGGCTCATAACTAGCCATCATCCTTGTTCCTCACTATCTCTCACCCTCAAAGGCGCTTTCTTCTCTTCTCTGACACTGGCACCCTCTGGTGCAGGCTGTTGTCATTTCAGCCCTGGACTACTGCCAGCAGCCTGCTGGTGGGTCTGCCTGACTCCAAACTATCCTCCACTCGGCCAGCAAAGTGACTTTCCTAAAGTGCAGGTCCCACCATGGCACTCCCCTATTCAAGAAACTCCAGGGGATCCCTATCAATACCAGGATCAAATATAAAATCCTCCATTTGGCACTCAAGGCCCTCCACAAGCTACCTCACCATGCCACCCTCCCCCACCCTAGTCTTCTCACACCTTACTCCCAGACATAATATTCTTCGATCCAGTGCCACCAGCCCCATGCTGTTTCTCATACAAGGCCCTCTATCTCTAGGCTCTGGGCATTATCTCTGACCGTCCCCAAAACCTGGAATGTTCTCCCTTCTCTTCTCTGCCTAATGGCTTTCCTTCAAGTCAACTAAGATCCCATCTTCTGCAGAAAGGCCTTCCCGACTCCCCCAATTCCAGTGCCTTCTTGTTCATCCTGTCTAGAGCTTGTTTGTGCACATTTGTTTGCTTGTTGCCTTCCCCGTTAGACTGTGAACCCCTTGAGGGCAGGAACTGTCTTTTCCTTTCTTTTGTATCTCCAGCACTTAGAACAGTGTCTGGCACATAACAGCCTCTTAATAAATCTTACTGACTAGGTGTGTACATGCCACATTCCAACTAGATTGTAAAACACATTCATAGGTTAGTAAACACAAAATAAATTGAAGGGAACAGAAAAAGCTAACAACTGGGAAGAAGAGGAGGATAATCATAATAATAATAATAATGATGGCTAGCTTTTATACAGTGCTTCAAGGTTTGCAAAGCATTTAACAAATATCATCTCATTTGATTCACACAACAACCCTTAAAGGTAGGTGCTGTTATCATGCCCATTTTACAATACAAGAAACTGAGGCAGACAAAGGTTAAGTGACTTGTCCAGGGTCACACAGTTACTAAGTGTCTGAGACAAGATTTGAACTCAGGCATTCCTGACTCTGGTACAGTACTCTATCCACTGTACCACCTTGCTGTCCCTTTGAGGGAAGGTTCCTGGAGCAGACCACATATGAAAAGAACCTCAAAGGAAGATAAGGATTCTGAGAGGCTGAGTGAGGAAGGGATACATCCCAGCTATGGGGGAAGGCCTGAGCAAATGCAGGAAGGCAGGAGATGAAATGTTAGGTTCTAGAAAGAGCTTGGTGGTCCAGTCTGACTGGACTATAAAGTGTGTAAGGCTAAAAGGCAGGTGATCTGCAGCCAGATTATGAAAAGCTTCAACTGCTACATTGAAGAGTTTGTATTTTTTTCCTTTAGCCAATGGAAGGAGAGCTATGTAGATAAACTCTAGGATGATTACATGGAAGATGAAGTGGAGAAACGAAAGACTGAAAGTATGAGAGGATTGATGAAGAGGCTATCCATCAGCTCTGAATGAGAGTGATGACTGTGTGGCTGGAGAGAAGAGGATGGGTGTAAACATTATTGTGGAGTTAGAATTACTGAGATACGGTAAATGATCTGACATGGAAGCTGCAGGAGAAGGAAGAATCAAACATGACTTGGGTTACTGAGAAGACGGCATGCCCTCAACAGAAACAGGAAAAGTTTTTAGTAGCTACCTACTGCTTCTAGGACAAAATAAAAAGTCCTAAGTCTGGCATTCAAAGCCCTGCCCAATCTGACTTCCACTTCCACAGCATATAACACAATCTAACCAAAATGATATGTTAGCCATTCCAAGGACTCAATATTGCAACATACCTTTGGCACAGGTTGTGCCAAACACCTGGAAAACACTTCCTCCTCACTTCTGTGTCTTAGAATCACTAGTTTCCTTTAAGATTTGGATCAAGCGCTCCCTTCTTTGGGAAGCCTTTCCTGATTTTCTGACCCAGTTCTTAGTGTTGTTTCTTTTTAAATTTGCTTAGATTTACTTATTTGGGGACATATTGTAACCCCTCCAAGAAAGTTGGAAAATTTTTCATTTTTGTCTTTTTTAGTTCGATAGCATAAGGCAGTGCCTTGAACATACCAGTATTCAATACATGGATGCGTAACTGAGTTCTGGTAATCATAAACGGTCAGATCCCAAGACCACAACAGAAGGTAACAGCTTCTGGATAGTAAGAAGGTTCTAGCAAGTACCTACTTCACAATTTGCTACTTCACTTACAGATAATACAAACTAACCTCTATAGAAGAAGAAAGAGACAGAGGTATATAAGTGGGGAGACACAGAGAGAGAAGAATTATACTCTTGTTGGTTGGTTTGACTTGATTCACCTGGGTAGATCTTCGAGTCTGCCGAGCTTGTCTGGAACGTGCTTTCCTCTGAGACTCTGCTTCCTCGTCCCGTACAGGTGTTAGATATGACCTGAGGAGGAATTAAAAATCAACATTAGAGCAACAGTACCTTGCTACATACAGAATCATTTCTATTTCATCATCAATCAATCCATCAGCAAGCACCTAGTAAGTGCTTACTATCTATCAGGCAATGTTTCCTTCAAAACTTGGCTCAAACATTTTTCTACATGAAGCCTCCCCCTCCAACCCCCTGTTATTAGTTTCCTCCCCCTGCACATCACCTTCAACTAATTTTATACAGATTGTGTACATACTTGTACATGTACATGTCGTCTTCCCCAAAAGAAGGCAAGCTCTTCTTGGGCAGGGTCTATTTCATCTTTGTCTTTGTGTCCTAGCACATTGCCTGTAAGATAGTAGGCACTTAATAGATGCTTGTTAGCTGTGAATGACTTTAGGAGTCAAGTAAGAGTTTAAATTTAATGCTAAAGACAAAAGAGAGTCGCCAGAATTTAACAAGTGGGAGAGTTCCTCGGTCAGAAATCACTCTGGCAGCTGTGCAGAGGATGGTAGTGGGGAGAGACTCGAATCAGAGGACCCAATTATTAAGAAACTACTGCAATAATCCTGGCAAAAAGTGAGGGTCATGAGGGGACATTTGTAAGAGATGTTTTGGAGGTAGAAATGTCAAAATCTGACAATTCATAGCACATGTGGACTAAGGGAGAATTAAAAGTTAAAGATGATGGTGAGGTCACGAACCTGGGTGACTGTAAGGATGGTGGTGTCCTTAACAAAAATAAGGATGTTTGGAAGAGGGATGAGTTTTGAGGAAAGACAGAGTTCTAGTTTGACATGTTAAATCTGAGATGCCTGCAGGGCATCCAGTTTTAAAAGTAGGAGAGGAAGAACTGGAGCTCAGGGAATAGACTAGGGTTGATATATAGATCTGGAGCTATCTATATAACGATAACAATTAAACTCATGGGAGCTCATGAGATCATCAAGTAAGAGAGGAGAGAGAGAGAAGAAGGAAAGTGACTGAGGACAGTTCCTTGAGGTATATCCACACTTAGGGGTATGGCATGAATGATTATCCAGTAAAGGAGACTGAGAAAGGAAGAGTCGTATTGGAAAGAAGAAAACCTAGAGTAAGCAGGGTTACAAAAACCAGAAAAGAGACAGTAACCCAGAAGACAGGGTGGTCAATAGTGTTAAATACTACAGAGAGGTCAAGAAAAATTAAGACAGAGAAAAAGCCATCAGATTTAGCACTGAAGAGATCATTAGTAGTTTTGGAGAAGGCAGTTTCAGTTAGTGATGGGGTAAGAAGCCACACCACTGGCTGAGAAAAGAATGAGAGGAGAGGAAGTAGACAATAAATGTAGACAGCTTTATCAAGGAGTTTGGCTATGAAAAGGAAGACGGATACAGAATGATAGCGTGAGAGAATGATAGGGTCTGGTGAAGGTTTTTAAGGATGATAAGACTTAGAAATGTTTGTGCAAACCAGGGAAGAATTCAGTAGATAAAGGAGAGACTGTAGGATAGAGAAGAATGAGGTTGACTATGGGGGCAACTGTTGTAGAAGATGGAAGGCAAACAAGGGTACATGCAGAGGTAACGACCTTGGCAAGAAAAAGAGTCATCTCTTCATCAGAAACTGAAGCAAAGTAGAAGAGAATGGACAGAGATGTCAAAAGATGAATAGAAAGGGAGAGGAGGAGCTCATGGTAAATGGTTTCTATTTTCTCAGTAAAGTATGAGGCTAGATAAATCAAGAAGGTTTGGAATACTTTAAAAGGGATGGGAGAGAGAATCAATTAAGACAGAATAAAAGTACAGCTAGTTCTGTTGTAACACTTGTATTTACAACATGAATTTGTTCCAAAGCGATTTATACATTAGGGAACATTTTGAGCATAATGTGAATTTCAAATTTGCTTCTCTGTAATTTCTTCCCTGAGAAACAGCAAGTACACAGAAAAATGCACACTTCATAATAACTCACGAGCTTAACCCTTCCAACCGCCACTTTCAGGTCTCTGTCAAGGCAAAGTGTCATGTTTAATGTATATCTCCTGGTGCAGTAGGAGCTGGCTGGAGGAATGCTGGTCCAAACCTCCCCTAACCCCAACCCCTTCTGCCATGCCCTCTGGCGCAAGTTTCAGCCAGCCCAACTTGTTCCCTGCCCAACTTGCTCCAGAAGCTCACCCAGGCAACAGCCTGAAGCTAAGCTCAAGGCCACGACAAGCCATTATTTATTGTTATTGCTTGTCCTTCATTTTGAAAAGGACCAAAGACATCACGGGTGATGTCTTGACTCATGCATGAATTGGATGTAGGTGAAGCAGAGTTGCACAAAATTGACAGTCTCACTCTGCTTCCACAGTCATCAGAGTCCAAAGGTCAGACAAAAGTCAAGATGACTGGCAATGGCCCAAGATGCAATGGATGACCTTGGCATCTCAGATGTCTGACAAGCTCTAAGTGCTCCACGGTGGTTGCTTCAGCCACCTTCATGGTCACTGGAACAAATTGTTCTCACCCCCCCCCCCCATTCCACCAATTATTTATTGTAGCACTTATGTAGTTCTTAACCTTTTAACATGTATAAAGTTAGTTTTGTTTTTTTAATTAGGTCATTAACAAAGTTTTCAGAGTTGTACCCCCATCCCTATTTTCCCCATAAGCTCTGTGGTTTTACCATGAGATTGTACATATTTTTGAAAGTTATAAAGCAAACTACCTGTATTGTCCTGTTGTGACTAGGGACAGTTGAAATGACATTACATAAATTTGCAGTGGTCCCAGTCAATAGAGTTGCATGACTTTTTCCAGCTTGGTTCAACCATACATTAACAGGGGTGAGGGAAGTAGATGGTGAGAGTAATTCAGATTAGAGTCTGGTATGGTGTAAAATTGAGAAAAAAGGAAAGTGAGGTTTGATTTAAGATGATGGTCTGGAACAATACTGAGGGATAGAGGGACTGAAAATTATGGTGAAGACAAAAAATCACAGGATATGATCTGAGAAAGGAATTTCAAAGTATCTGATTGTAGAAGCAGAATACTTATGGGTAATATTGAGCTAAAGGGTGTGACCATCCCTATACTTGAGGTGGAGAAGAAGAGTGGATTGTAAAATGGGAAGATTTTGAAATGGGCAGATTAAGGTATTTCAGGAAAAAACAATATGCATTTGGATGTTTCCTAGTAGAAAGGCAGGAGTTGGGGTAGAAAACTGAAACATATGCTGGACTCCTTGGAAAGGAGGTAGAATGACCTGTAGATTGGTAACTAATTAATACCAGAATCAGAATTGGAAGAAAAATTTGGATAAAGTCAATATTAAAGAAGGGGAGAAGTCTCTGAGTGACAGAGGCAAAGGGAGAGTATGAAAGTGCCAGTGAGGAACCAGGAGTACTCCAATTCCTTCCACTAGGACTAGCGTGTCAGGGGGCATGAAAGAAAGCACAGTCAGTGTTTGAAGGGCAGTTAGGAATGCACTGTCATCTGAGGGAAGAAGTTCTACATGAGTGCCAGAAGATGGAAGAAGCATGAGGAGAAGAACAGGTTCAAAAATGAAGGGAAGCTTGCTACATATCAGAATCACATATCAGCGGGTACAACAGAAGGGTCAGAAGAATACATTTAAGAGGCTAAGGCAAAAACACAGAAAGACAGGAGGTTATGATATGATAAAGGAATTTCAAACTATGAAGGTGGAATCCTTGTGGGTGATAGCAACATCAAGGGTCCACCCTAACCAAAATTAGCACCCAATCCAGATCTAGTGGCAGTAAAACATCTGATTGTTATTTTTAATCCAAGATGGGGGTATCTATCTACTTAATATCTGGGATGAAAGCAACAGTGGATAAGAGAGATGAAAAAAGGGAGGGGAAAAACATCATACCTCCTCTCCCCAATCCCCAATCTTGCTCCCAATAGTCTCCTATTCAATACACATTCCTCCCCCTGTTTCGTCTCTAATGAGGTTCTAAAAGGAGGAAGAAAATTAATAAGCATTGGATCACAGATTTAAAGCTGGAAGGAACCTCCTTAGAGACCATCTAGTTCAAGTGAAGAAACTGAAACCCAGAAGGCCAATGAGTGGCCCAAGGACCCATGGTACTAAGTGGACAGGCTGGAATTTGATGCCAGGTCCTCTGACTTGCATTTTTTCTACTGTACCACAGGTCTAAGGAATGGCTAGAAGGAAGAATTTGTCTGTCTCTAAAGATTTCAAAGCATGTTACTCATTTAAAAAAAATGCCATCAATATAAAAAAATAAAACCTCCATGCTACAAATCTAGATATCTCAGTGATACGGGAAAAAGGCCTATTTAGTAATCCTCCTTTTCTCAGTACTTTATTAGGATAACAGAAGGGACATAACAGGCTTAAGGTCACCTTGTGGATATATCATAGCACTGCAAAAAGAACTCAAATCCTTAAAACTGAGCGCTGTATTGCCTAGATAGGCTCTATTTCACAAATCAATCACTGCTCCTGGAGAGGAACCCAAGAGATGGATGATTCTGTTCTCAATTTCCTTCCAGAAACAGAATCTGTCCATTTCAGTGTAACAGTCATGGTTTCTATCACCACATGTTCTTGTGGCTTCCCAACTTATCTGCATATTTCATTATTCTTCATAGCAATAAAAAGTGGAATACACCTTAATTCATGATGCAGAAACAAAAACTTCTAAATTATGTCAGAGCTACCCACATCCATTGCTAAATCTTCTGGCATCCCGACCAAACTGTTATTTCCAGTCAGCACCCTTAAGTTTACAATTAAACAATGATATGGGAAGAGACTTGAAGGGATTTCAATTCTGACATCTATTGATTCTCTTTCTGTTTTCTCTTTGGCTCCTTCCCTCCCTTCATATACATATATACATGCATACACACATTTCCTTACTCCCTTGTCCTTACCAAATTCCACCAATGAATTATTCTCACCACATGCTCCCTCTATTCCTATTAATGTACTGCTGAATAGTGCTAGAGAAAGTAGTATAACTGTGCTGAGACCAGAGCACATACACATAC